CAATGGCCGAGTTGTAAAGTTGCTACACAGATAATTCGACCTGAGATTAAATCTCGGGGAACGGGCTAGCTGTATGGTGGGGGTTTTGTCGCTTTCCCCATGTGTAACGTGGATACGAGCCAGTTTCCCTTAAAAAAAAGTCTTCTACAAAGGCGTTCCACAAGTAGGCCACGAATTGCTTTACCTTAATCAATTAAACCTAACCTAAGCATCCTGTAAACGTATCAGGCTATTTGGAAAAATTTTGCTCTGTAATATACTTTAATGCTTTTACAATAAACTTATTCATTCCTTTTATAATTTCGAAAATATATCGTATTGATCCGAATAGGAGACAGTTTTACATATTATCCATTCTGAAAGGTGTTAACAAAGTTTACTGAGGGAAAAAAATCATTAAATGATCTGAAATCATATCTCTGCATAAAATTAAGTAAATACATTTTTAACTTAAAAGTTAAGGTTTGAATGATAAATTACCTTAGTTTTCAGTAAAAGGAGCAATTTCCCCAGAACGACTATTAATTTAATTTTGGCATTTTGCGTTGATTCACTACAAACGTTGTTTCACTTTTCAAATTGTTTCCACCAAATATTATCGCCTTGCATTATATTTAAAGAAATTAAATAGCGAAGAATCTGCATAAATGAATGTATGTTTCCTGCACTGTAAAACAGCGGTACCTATTTTGAATACCGTAATCCTCCTGCAAATATGGACATCTGGAAACCCAAATTTGAAATTTGGAATTTGTTTTATTATCGACTTCATATTTTGTAAAACTTTAAGGAACTTTTGATTAACAAACTCAGGGATTTCAAAGCGAGCAATGGCGACGTTGTACAGAACAAAAAACATTTTTATCTCCAGCGCCGGAGATTGTGTATCGCAAATTGTAAAGATATGCTCATTTTAAAATTATTTTGCGATATTGCTCTTGAACTGAATTTTATGGTTTAGGTGTGAAGAACATGATACTTAATAAATAATGGTAACACACAAAATGTTAAAAAAGCGCCCCTTTGGACATAATTTAAAATCTGAAATCTTTCAGATTTTTTTTCTTATTTTTATTTATTAATTTATTTTTAGGCTAAGCATGTACAATCAGCATGAAATGCAAAAGAACGTTTTAAAGAAGGAAAACAACGTCTTGTATATAGACCAATAATTATGCTGTTCTTACATAAAGGTAACCTTTTTGGAAGAATTTAAATAATTTTTAATCCAACTTCGGACGCTGAATTCTAAGCGACATAAAAACTGAACACGATATACCAATATTTTTTATCGATTATTTTTTACACATTAAGTGTAAATTATTATTTGTTTATTGTAACCGGAAAGCGTATTTTAAATTAATTACAAAAAATTTAATAAATGAAACTGAAAACATTTTATACCGCGTGTTGGAGGCCTCTATGTTGCTCTTCGATATAATACTAACAGCAGTAGAATAACTTGTTTAAGTTAACCGTTTTCACATTTGATTCAGCATAACAATTCCTCACAGCTTTCCGTATACCTCGCAACTTAATCTAGGATAGGAAGTATCCATACTCTTAATTAGATAGGTTTGTTTTTTATTTTTCAGTTAAAGAGGCTACGTTAGTAAATGCACCAATTAACCCTTTCGAGACGGCGCCTCTTTGTTTAAGACGTTCCTTCGGGACAGAGGAGATTTGAAAGGAGTGCTCCTATAGAACGCCGGGTTTTGCGACGCTAAGTTTAACTTCAGAAAGGAATCGTTAAAAAAAGTTCATCTCATAACGTCATTAGTTTACATTATTACTTAAGCTATCACACATGTTAATTTTAGCATTTAATAGTCTTTTTTCATTACTTTACATGAAAATATATTAAAAAGCTGCTTACTTTAAAAATAATTTTCATATGAGCTACCAAATTACTCCGAAGTTTTAATTGATAAAACACATTATTAAACTTCCAAATCAATTTTAAAAAGTACAAGAAAGTCTATTTACAAGAAGAAGTAACAAAATCTTTCACCTTGAATTGGTAGATAAAGAGTTCAATCTCTGATAAATGTCCGTATCAGAATCACTAGAAACATCACTTTAGAATATCATTCTCCTCCATGTCATTAATTGGTTCGTTTACTATGCGAGTCTATCTTTCTTCTGATAAGTAACGCTTTTTACAAGAAAAAGAATAACAAAAAAGATTCGGAAGAATATCACAAGCACAAATGTTTATATCACATGACGATTTAAAGAGACGAGACTTGTTTGTTTATTTTATGCTTTCCTTTCTCTCTTACGTGAGTCATGTTTTTATCATTTCGAGTGGAAGGCCAAATCTACATGTATCTCAAATCCTGTGGACATGCAATGCGATCTTGTGGTGAAAGTTTTAGTTTTTAAAACGTTGCAAGACATTGGCATAAATATGTCGCGGCCGGAGGTGAGCGAGAAAACGTTATGGCACATTAGCGTGCCGTTCGGGAAATAAGTGCGTTTCTTACTTGGACGTATAAGTCACAATCGGCGCGAAATTGTTAAGAAATGTTCAACCGGAAATACAGTAAAACTGTGAATAGTGGGAAAAAACAACAAGCCCATATTCAGATTCCTTACGCCAAAAAATTATAAATTCTGTATATCTTTAAAAAAATCACGATGTTAGCACATGTATTACTTTTTTACAGAAGTAATATATCAACCACCGTCTCTAATTTAAAGTAAATATATAAATAAAAAATTAGTACAGTCAAAAGTCTTTAATCCGGACTCGTAAGTCTTTAATCGGGACTTCGGCGATTCCAGATTATCGGTTTTTCCGCATTATAGATCATCAATTTAACTCTGGTAAGATGGCATGCAGAAATTATAAAATTAAAAATATGAAACCGTAATTTATGAAATAAAGAGCAATTGTGATGTAAAGGTTATCAAAAATTTACCAAAAATTTAGGCTTAATATTTATTTGTTTACTTTATTAAACATTTCTTTCAACGCGCGCATGCGTAAAGCATACAATACGCAAGTCGAAATTAGAAAATTGCAACCAGAAAACTATTTGATGTGTATTCGTGATATTTATAATGACGAGGAATTTGATTTAAATCATATCAAAGACCGAGTACATGGGAGATGAAATACTACATTTAGTAAGGAGTTATAAGCCGAATAAAATAAAAACATCTGCCCTAAAGATAGTGCTGACAGATCAACATCCATTTCATTGCGCGTCGCGAAGTCCCCTCCCCCCCCCCCCCGCAGAGCAGCGTGAAATTGATAAACAGATTTCGGAATGGTTAGAGAAACAAAGGATATGCCTTTGTAAAAGTGGAATTGCTGCAAAAAATGGACAAAGGATATGCCGTTATCCATTTTTTGCAGCAACTCCACTTTTTGTTTGATGGACATCTAAACATGCTTTCGCTTTGTAGATCCTTTGGCAGCTCCAGAATCGGAAATTCTTTTTGACATAATAGAAAGTTCAAGCTTGTATAAAATTGCTCTAACAGTCTGCAAAAATTAATAAGCCGGATCCAATTCGAAGATTAAGTAACAACGCAATCTGCAACATTAACTGAAATAGATAATTAGATAATTTTAGCTTAGCTTATACCGCCCGTTATACATTAAGCGCGCATGAGTAAACGTATTATGGGCATGCGTAAACGCATAACAGAAAGTTTGTAGCTTTGAGGTCCGGACTATAGATCATTGCGGATTATGGACGTCCGGATTAAAGACTTTTGACTGTATATCATTGCTTCCCTACAATTCTCTTCCAAAAAATGTAACTGTATAAAAGGATTTCTTTCTTCAATAATTTTTTAACGTTTGAACAAATATTATTATTATTACTAATAAAGAAAACTAAATTGTGTTTTTTTGGAAATTGACTTACACTGTATTGCTGTATATAAGACCTAATTCTTATACTGTATATATAATATAATTGTTTCACAAGCGCAAACACATGAATTCAGTATTTATTGCAATAAAAAGTATTAATCGAAGAATATATTACATAAAAAGCAAAAAAAATCGCAGTAAAATTATCAACGTTCTTTAAACCATAAAACAGCAGAACTTTCTGTAATCATTTTCTAATTAGAAATCAAGTATATAACTTTGCAAGATGCAAATTAATCGTCAAAGAAAAACGAAGCATATATCTTAAAACATTTACTATTTTACATAGCCTGGGTTAAATAAATATAATAAATCGCATGCATATGTACTAAAAGTATTGGTATTCGAAGTATCCCTTTGCTACATTTATTCTGCTACGAATACGTTTTGAAAAAAATATGAAATTGTTGAAAATATGTCTACTGTGTTTATTAGTATAATCTCTTTAAAAGTTTCATAAAATATAGCTTATGTTTTGTGCTGAATTAATAGCAGACGACACAAATTTATTAATCAAGATAAAATACATTTTTCAGTATAAATCATGTTGCATGAGTTTAAGAAACATTTTGTTGCAAAGAATATTTGTGATTATCAGTGAAACAATTAATTACAGTACTATTTAATTACTGTAATTAGCAGATATAAGGCTATAAAAATATACTGAATATAATTATAAAATATCAGTCAAAAAGGGAATTTTTTCTAATTTTGTTTTTAAATTTAATTTGTGTTATTTAATTTTCACTGCGAAAAACGAAGAAAAAATTTAATTTTCACGTAAACTAGAATTTTATTTACTTATTTTATACATTTATTTTATATTTTGTAATGAGTTTATAAAGCATTTTTTAAGGCAACTAAAGTAAAAATTGTCTTACATCAAATTATGTAAAATATATTTTCAAAAGAATTTAATCTAATTAATAATGTAAAGTTTATTCTGAGATGCATTTTTTTAATTGTTAAATTAATTGTAATTAACAGGAATCATATTGCAAAATAAGAAAGCAAACACTGTATCGTTTTGTGAATTTGTTTATACCACGGGTCGAAAAAAATGTAAAAAATATACCAGACAACTAGTGAAATAATACAAAATTTTACTTACCTCTCCACGTCGAATTTTCGCCGCCAAACTGCAAGCTGATTCAAGAAGCACAGGATCTGTTATGTCGGCTAATTTTTTGCTTCGACCGCAATACTTGAGACACAAAACAAATCTAGAGATGAGTTCAATGATTCTTCTGAAGAATCGGATGATAAATGCTAATACTGGATTTTTCACTAAAATGGCCATTTCAACAGCTTTTTATGGCACTGCTCACAAAGCTATCAAATCACTTATATAAGTTCCGAAAAGTTTCACTTCAATTACGATTACTTCGAAAGCGTTGCAGATTAGAAATATATCTGCATTCTTCGCAACAGAACGCTCGTTTCGCTTCAGTTACTTCATGAACTAGCAAACGATCTTCCAAAGAAAGCTGTCTGTGATGAAGCGTTTTCTTTTCTGTATCAGTTTCTAAAATCTAAGGGATCTTTCGATGAGCGTTGTTTCTAAATCAATAGTACGGTGCTAGCTGAGCTAAAAGGGAAAACAATATTTTAATTTTAATCACATTTTTAATATAAATGATATAGTGGAATTTAATGTTTGGTTCATTAAGAATCATTTATCGTATTTAAATCTGTTAAAATTTTTGGTGATGCTCACGCTTGACCTTTACGTTATAGGATGTTACACAGCATGTGACAGATCTGATAGTTTTAACTTTAAAGATTTTAGAACATGGCAAAAACAGACATTTCTGTTATAGAATATGTGATGGAATGTTAAATATGAATGTGGAAATACAGTAAGCATGAAGAACATAAAGTTGCCCCAGTCCGGATATATACAAAAATTAAGTAAGGTATTTACAAACACGTTCAAATAAATGACCACCACGTGTAATACATGCCACAATGACAACGATGCATTTGGGGAATGACTGTAGTTAGAAGATGTACACCATGTTTTGTACTACTGTAATACAGACGCTAATTCTTATGGTCACAAAGTCTTCCGGAAATTCAATCTACGTCTCGTAAATGAAATCTATCGTCGTCGGGATGCATGTAGTGCAGTTGCTGTGGCTCATTTGACTGCTTTTTGTAACTAATATTCGTGATAAAAACGACTTTTCATTCTCTCCGTTCTTCATACTTTGTGTCTGCACATTTCACCATATTACATTACAAAAAAAATTACTTTTCTCGTGCTCTCTTATCCCTTAAAGTAGTGACCATCCATTCTATTACACTTTATAACTAAATAATTAATGGAAAGTATATAATCCTTCACTTATTACAAAAATTGCTGCTTTTGTCATGTTCTCTTATCCCTTAAAGCCGTGACCATCAATTCTGTTATACCCTGTACTTATAAAGAAATAGACAATGAAAAGTATAAAATAATGCACTTATTACCAAACTTAACTATGTGTTCCGTAGATAATAATTACATGCATTCTCATTTCAAAGTAAAAAACGGACAACACTATCCTTGCGCTATATAGTACATTAAGAAATTGTCTAATATCAATGGAAAGAGTTATTTTGTTTATTGCTCAGATTTCATGATTTTGAATTTTATGACGGATTTACAGAAATTTTAAAAGCCCTAAAAGAGTGTTGTTTCTAATACCTTGATAAGGTACTTAGGGCCTAATCTTTAGCCCTAAATTTACTTCTAAATCTGTTGGTAAGAACTTCTCTATTTTCACCATCTGAGTTTTATTAAAATTTTCTTAAACAGAAGTCGGATTTGATATAAGTTTATATGGAAAACTCAGCCGATTGCAATTACCTTTTTTTATGATCTGATGCATTTTTAATGATATCTATAAATTTCTCTTAGAGAAACTGCATTGATTATTTTATAAATGTAGTAAAATGTTCTTTTTTTTGGGGGGGGGACGAATAATCAAAATGTAACTGAAAAGTTACCTCACAAAAGTTTCCTTACACTTTAAAGAAATCTGCATATATTAGTAAATACTGTAATATTTCTATTAGTATTTTGTAAGCTATCCTGCAGCATTTATACCAGCTTTCAAACTTCTGGTTCATAAAGCACCAGTTTTTTTTTTAGTAATATCTGCGTCAATGTTTCTCCAGTCTTCCATCATATACCGTTAACATTTTGATTTTCGTTTTATTGCTGTGTCTTCGTACTCTGCCCCTAATTCTCTTTAAGTGTGTTCTAGCGGGTTTAAATTTGGTGACTGAGGGGGTGTTTTCAGAATTTGCGAGCAATTATAGGCACATTGAAGATCAACGTTGATAGCCTTGTGCTTAAGATTGCTATCCTGATAAAAAAAAATAAAGTTGTTTCCAATACCCAAATTTTAGATGGATAATTTAAAATTATCTTTTGAATATTTGAATAAATAGCACGCTTCATTATGCCATCAATAAATACGAAATTACCTAATTCTGATGCTGGCATCCACCCCCCACAAGGACACCGCCACTCGTCGTACCTTAGTGTTCCAGGTCTTGGGATTGAGTTCATCATTTTTCTTTCGCCTTACAATTATACGCTCATCGGAACCCAAAATGTTAAACTTACTTTCATCTGCAAATTACACATAATTCCAGTACGCATCGGGCTTATTTACCATTGATTTTTCACTTGCAAAACGTTTTCTTCGAGCAGAGCGCTTGTGTAGCCCAGTTGACATGAGTACTCGTCGGACAGTTTCAAGTGAAACTGAAGTAGAAAATGTTTCAATAAATCCTGTAGAGATCTTTCCAGCACTCAAACGTGGATTATTCACAAATTTTCTAGCTGTAAATATCTGATCATATTGAGTTAACTTTGCTGGATGACCTCTTCTTACTTGATTTTCGATCCAATTTTCTTTTTGAAAGCGTTTTATCACACACTGCACCATAGAATGGGAGAACTTTATTAATTTAGCAATAATTCGGATCGATTTTCCACCATTACGAGAAAGTTATCAATTTTTGAATTCTACTTATTCTATTTTCCTTATGATTGCGAGTCATTTTTAAATATTAAATAAAATATAATGAATTAAGCAAGCAAAGAATAAAGCCAAACGAGAAAAACACCAAAATGCAAAAATAAAAAAAGGGCTGAAGAGAACTTTATTTATGAAATTTTACAAAAATGCTTCGGTGTACCATTACTTTTGTGGCGTGTCTTATCTATACCTCCTTATATTTTCAATTTTAGAAAACAAAAATAAATCAGTATTAAATAAAAAAAAAAAAAAAAGTTTGGTTTTATTCAAAATCAAATTGAGATGATACGGGAAAGAACTGGGCTTGATATTTGAATTCAATTACGGGCTTTTACAAATTCTTAAAGTGTGCGAACGCTTTTGTGAGCCGCTGTATTTATAATTTTTTATTAATAAATAATAAACTAATAATCGTACAAAAAATCTATGCAATAACAAAATTTTGAAGTAATTTTACGTAAGATATTGATAAAAACTGCACTAATTAAAAGTTTATAAATAATAAAAAGTTTATTATCTTGTTATCTTAAAATCTTCGCCAAACAATGTATAGAACGAGGAAAATCTGTCATACGTATTTCTAACATTATAAACATTTAATTTTTAACTTGAATGTTATTGTTAAAAGCAGTCATTAATTTTATAACTTCAAAGTTAATCCACCGCTATGTATTATAATTTTAATTAATTCTGTTTTTGAAATTGATAATGATAAATTTATTAGTTAATTTTTAAATTATTTTGGAATACATGATTCCAAGTTTATCCCTAAATTTAATTCCCTCATCCAAAATTCCAGGTCATGAAATAGGTATTATTTTACACTTTATTCACTTTTTATATGAACACAAAATATATATTTTCATGAGAAATTCAGTAAAACTTCTTATCGCTTTATATTCAGATCAATACGGTATGTGTAGTCAACAATATCTTTAACGCTACTAAAATTCTCTTAAAGTATTTTTTTATAAACTGGTAACATTTTAAAGATGAGTGATTTCAGCAGCAGCGAGTAAAATGTAAGGAAAATGTAAAAATCTTATAATCCTTTAATTAATTAAGTGCTGTCAAAATGACTAGGAAAATACACAGTCATTTTTACTTGTGCAATTAATTTAGTTTAAGCATAAATTTAAATTAATGTTTAAAAAATTATAATAGTAAGTCAAAATTAAAAACACTTTCTGATTATACCACAAATACTCTTCATTAGAAAAATGGCAACAAAATAGCATTATTGGAAATTGTAATATATATTGTGCTTTAAAGGTAACCAAACTTAGAATGATTTTAATAATTATCAGTCTTTATTTTATAGCCGGTCCACAGGAAGTAAAATAAAAAAGGAAAAATCGTTACAGCCTTTCAATTAATTAATCTCAGAATGTTTAACTGCTAAAATAATTAGAAAATTCACAAAACTTTTATTCTCATAAACAATTTAGTTTAGAATTAAATTGCATTAAAATTATACTTAAAAATTTCTACAGATAAATAAATGTTATTTACAGCAATAACAACTCCTCCCCAAAAAAGACACATTTTCCTCTGCGAAAAATGGTAATACACCATCTTTCCAATAAAATAAACCGATCAGTAATTGTAATGAAAGAAAACCAGAAAAAATAAATTTACCTTTGGTACAAAATCACAGTATTCCAAAAAGAACGAATAATTTCGAATTTCGTAATTTTCCATCGAAAAACAGGCAATTCTCCAGCCACCTTCAAAAAAGATCAACCGGAAATGATAAAAAGGAAAAAGTGCCGCTCCGTGAAAGAAAAGCACGATACCGTTTCTGATCCGACGTCAAAAGCGAAAGTGATGGCGAAGACATGCAGACGAAAACTTCGCCTTCCGCTTAGCACAGTAACACCGTTAGATCGGCTTTGGTGAGGGGCTGGAGAGGAAGCGGGGGAAAATTGTAACGATTAACGTTACCGTAGAATGAAAAATGGGAAAAAAATATTGGATAGAGCAGACTGTAGATTAACTCTGGGGAAATGAAAAAGAAAACAGCCCTCCGGCTGTAGGTTTCTTCACCGATGCAAACGATTCGAATCTGACACTGGCCGGTCACGTGACGAATACCGTTGTTTCGGTTCAATTCACGTGATGTTTTATGTTCTAATTTTCCTTTTTCTCAAGACCTTTTATTTTATTTTATTTATTTATTTATTGTTTGTTTGTTTGTTTTTTATTTCATCTCTACTCATCATTTTTCTGGATGTATCGAGAGTAATTGTGCATGTTTTTATAATTCGAAATTTTCACTTACGCTCAATTTTAATTAACAAACAAAAAAAAGTAAATAAGAAGAGAAAATTTGCCTTTATTTGATGTCAATATCGATTAAAGATGTTTATTATACAAGTTGTTTCGAATGTTTAGCTGGAATACAAAGAAAGATTTCAATCTCTTCCCTTCCGATGTTAATTTATGAATGAGACTGGTATAAAGTAAGAAATGTCTTTTCGTGAAGTCTTTCAAAATTTTTAGACCGTTGCGTTGCTTTACCAGGCATATGTAGCGTAATAGTATAATGTAATGTTAACTGCCTGTAACGTAACATAATGTAACGTTAAATCCCCCTTTTACAGGGATTAAGTCCTGTCACTAGCAGAGTTGTATCACTGGTTGTCATTGTTAAGGTCACTGGCAAAGTGATTAAGTTGTTTCATCTTCTGCGTAACCTCGGCCTTGAGCAAATCTAAGAATGTCGCCATTCAACAAACTGTAATATGTTTAACTTTCTTTCAAATTTAAGAAGTCTGTAACTGCTTTAATAAACTCAGTGATATAAAGGCAATAAACTCATTCCTTTATAATTTACTTGTTTAGAAATATATAATATATATTCTCAAGAACTTATATTTCTCAAGAATACTTATTTTCGTATTTAATTTTTTTTTATTATTTTCTTAACATTTTTATTTTACAGAAATATTATTCTGTATTTCTCGTGAAATTTACTCTCGGTGTATTTTACCGAGAGTAAATTTCATGTAATCAATGTGTAATGTTATCAACATTCAATATGATTTTTTGCACGTGTATATTTAAGGAATAAAACCTCAATTTTCTTATCCATTTCAATGTTCTTTTCATTTTCATAAATAAAATATTATTTTTATGATTATTATTATTAGCCCAAACGGCGTTAGCCAGAAGGGTTATTAATTTCGTTTTGGAGTTTTGCGTTAAAAACTTCAAATGTCGTTTCCTTACCACCAAATATTAGAGCCCTGTATTATATTTAAAGAAATTAAATAATAAAGAATCTGCATAAATGTATGTATGTTTCACGTATTGTGATAAAACAACATTACCTAGAGACATCCAGTTTTGAACGACGTAATCCTACTGCGAATGTGGGCCGCTGAAGGCCCAAATTTGAAATTTGGAATTCGTTTTATTATCGATTTCCTATTTTGTAAAACTTTAACGAATTTTTGAGTAACAAACTCAACTGTTTCAACGCGAGCAATAGCAACACTGCACGGGGGAAAAAATTATCTCCAGCGAGCGAAATTGTGTATCGGAAATTCTAAAGACATGCTCATTTTAAAATTATTTTGCGTATTGCTACCGAACTGAATTTTATGGTTTAAATGCGAAAAACATGATATTTAATCAATAAAGGTAACACACAAAATGTTAAAAAAAAAGGCCCCTTTAAAATTTAAAATCTGAAGGCTTTTAGATTTTTTTTATATATTATGTATCAATATTATCAGAAAGTTCAATAAAAGAGCAAAAAGCTCGCAAGTAATGAAAATAAATATTTGATTATCTTAATATAACGCTTAGATAGAATAATAATCTTTAAAATAAATTTAAAAATGACAATTAAAATGGATTTAGAAATTTATATTTGTATTTATTTGTTTTTAAATTTTACATAATAAATAAAAATTCAAATACATTCGTATGTAAATAAACATACTTGCTATAAAATATTTGTTTATTTTAAAAATAATTTTGCTAAAAAACTTATTAGATTTCTAAATTTTTTAAATAAAAGTATATTAAATTTCCGACCTAATATTAATCTGATAATTTAATAATTTCTAAATCTCAAACGGCTAATGCAGCCATTTGAGTTAAAATATTTTGTTCCGATATTAAAACTATTTAGCAGCGAAGGAAAACGTGTTCTCTCTGTTTATAAGACTCAGATTTAGTTGTAGACAGAGCCTTTCTCAGCTGTCCTATGTTTGCTCTAAAGCGCGAAGTTCTTGATTTCCTCCACAATTTAGTTCCCTTAAAGAAATTTAATTTATATTAACAATTATCATTAGTTTTTACTTCTTAATTATTTACCGAAAAAAAATAAGCAAAGTAGATGAAATCTGTAGTGAAGGAAAAATCGAAATATTCAGAATTATTATGAGCAGCAGATCCAAATCTACATGCCATAAAAATAATGGAAATCATATATTAAATATTTAAATATGATAATAGCAGAAAGTTACGTAACACATACCAGAAAATATATTGGTGTCTATAAACACGACTTTCTATGACCTTTTGTGCAGGAAGAAATGCGAAAGAAAAACCTGAAGCCGAAGCGATATCTTTCACCACAACTAAGGAAGGGTTAACAGGGATTTGTAACAATTTAAGGTTAAAGCTCACAATTTAAGGTTAATGAGAACTACAAACAAGTTGAAACCCAATTCACAGTACAACTTTAAGATATCGCTCGGCATTTTTTCGCCTCGGTTAATTAATAAGAAACGTGTTTATATCAGTGTTATGCTCATGTATAACAAAACAAAATTAAAAATATATGCTACGAGTCTTATGCAGAGTACAAGTGAGACCACCCAGTCATGCCTGACAGAGGAATTAACAGTTCCACTTTTGCTTTCGCTCTCACGGGAATTAAATTTCGGTAATGATTCATTGATGTAATTTAAAATATAATGATTATAAATAATTGTTCAGTTCTAACAATGCTAACAACGACTTTCTTAAGAACATTTCTACGTTCACACGCTTAATTTCAACGTTGTCAATAAAAATTGAAATACTTTCATAATTCCTTTTAACGGCTTTGATTGTCATCCCCCGATACCTTTTCACCCATAGCATTATCTTAAGTTTTATGTTCTTCGTGAGGGAGGGTAAATTTTCATTTGCATCAAATATGAAAGAAAGGTACATAGATAACTCATATGGAACTGCATAAATTATTCTAAGCCTTCCTTTATGTCTTACAATTAAATGCGTTTTCTGTTTCCTGCAATGAAGTGGAACATTAAATTAGGATGACTTCAATGCATATCCATAGAGGAATGCTTCCATATGCACAAATAAATAACTATTATTTGCAGCGTGCCACCAGAAGGCACAGAAACTTACCCAAAACGCTTCTTAGGAAAATGACATCAGAACACCTTTTTTAGAAAATGTGAACAGAATCATCACAGTCATCCTTTCTTTAATAAATAAAGAAATTTCGTTCCCCTAGGATTAGAAAAGAATAATTTATGCCAACATTACTTTTGCATAAATAAAATAACCAGAGCACACGTTTACCCAGAAGTTAAGCAGCGGACGGTAATATCAACAGAAATAAGAAACTAACGACAGTGAGGATGATTATCATTCATGCGGAAGAAATCGGGACCAACTTGTTACAGTACAATCATAGTGGTGCGCGGTACTTCATCCCGGTACTGTGCAGAAGTAACAGAACAGCTTCTTACACGCTTATCACGTTAATTCCCAGGCACATCTGAGGTGGTCCATAGCCAGCTCGTTGCAACAGTCTGAGGCAGTCCATTCAGATGCTGAAGATGCCATTTTAGTCTTAGCCATCTTAATCATCGTTTGGTCAATTAGTGGAATACAAAAACGTAATTACTCGGAAGTATAATTCTTTTATGTGAAGTCTTCGGTGCACAGTGCTGGCAGATACTATCTTGCCAAGTGTCGCAACTGTACAACCATGGACTGCAACCACGAATATAACTGTTGGGGACATCGCTCGTCAATAATGCTCGGCTGCTATAGCAATATATCAACCTTCAGAAGGGCTGGTAACTGTTGGTTCACTGAAAATAAGTCTCGGGACAACTGTTTGACATGTTTGGAATTGTTTTCACTTTCGAGAAATGACCGAATGATCAACGCCAAAGAGAAGAGCGACATTTTGATTGACTCTCCTTTTTCAATGCCTCTTAGATCCCACCAGCGCTCGCTATCTGCCATTAGTCTTCTTTCAGCCACAGAAACACTAATATCACTAAATATTATAAACAGCTCATAATAGCAGTTAAATGAATCTCGTGAACTTCTTCAAATGGTTCAAATTGTTCCCGTATTCATCGACAGGCTAATTAACATGCATTCGGACAGTGAATCGTGATTGGCTACATACAATATATTCGTACTGACATATCCGTCCGCAGCGACTTTTAGCCTCTCAAGCTCAGCTACGCTTTCGAAAATTCTAAAGTTGTGCTGCGTGCTTTACTTCAGTGTTATTAATGTCTCAGAAGAAGATAGATACTGAGAAAGAGTGCATACTTTCACAGATTATTCATATGCAGAAATGTGTTGAAAATGTTTACGCGATAGAGTACGCATGGCATTGCAATTTTTCCCTCAAGATTTGCTGAAATCGTTCCTCACGGGATTTAATAACATTTTTGGAAATTCACATTGCCATAAATGCTCTTCAGGAACACTATTAGGGTCAAGATATTCTGTAGATTGCCAGGGATATCATCGAAGATGCTCTTCAGGATGTTTTGCAGAATCTATTGAAGAAGTTCTGTAAATTTCTGACTTGGTCAATCCGTTCTTCAGGATGCCCAGCAGAATCCATTGAAGATCTGTAAATTTTTTATGAGGTCAATTGAAGACACTGTGCAGGTTACCGCTGGGATTTATTACTGCTACGCTGTTAAGTGACTTGATGAATATGGATGAA